TATAATTTAATTAATGTATTCCCCACAACAGATAAACAATCTGCATAAAAACAGACGTTTATTTGGAATGCTCCTAATTACTGCCAGTAGTTCCACTGAATAAATAAATGGCTTGGTCTTGCTTTTGGATCAACAGGAAATAACCAGCTCTGAGCCATATTATCTTTTAAGAAGCTCTGTAAAGAACAAAACTGTATACATGTTGGCTCACTTCCAAACTGGGGGCCTTGTTTTGCAAAATAAACACTAGCTATAATAACTAAAGAATTAAAAGGAGTTTGAGGCTACTCTCCCCCTCATGTCACTGATCTATTCTTCATGTGGGACTGGGGAAATGCCTTGATTCTAATTTTGAAGGAAAAAAATGCAGTCTAAAATATATTTTTATACATTCTACACACAATTTTTATTGCTGACAACTGTATTTCTACCTAATTCTCTCAACCTCCCTATATAGTCCATTGAATTTAAATGAACTCATGTATGAAAGGCATACAGAAGTGGCAATCTTGTATACAGAAATGGGAATCAGGGAGCAGACCGGGTCCTTTTAAGAAACAAAACACTTGGGAGTTTCAGGTTTCAGATCAGGTGCAGGTGCTTGAAATATTACCTCTCTATATGCCAACTATATTTTCTTTCTTTCACTCTCACAGGCCTTTTCCAATATTAAACATAACCAGAGAAACCCATACAGACTGCTTAATATTCTTAAACTTATTAGTGGCAAGACTTTGATTACCTGTTTGGTCCGAAGATGATAGTAGGTTACAGTCTTCTCCAGTCATATGAATCTGTTCCTAGATCTCTGCAAATAGAAGAATGAATTGCCACCCCCGGCTAGCAGAAAGAATTCGATAATTCAGTTTGTTAGTAAAGAAGAAAGCTATATTTGCATCCACCAGATAATTCAAAAAGCATTAAGAAACTAAGCTGAGCTGTTTCTTCTGTCTTGAGTGTAGTAGTGTGCCTGAACAAAGTGGCAGAACCACCTGCTCTCAAGTGACCATACTGCATACTTTCAGAGCTGAGGTGAAACAATATGCTGAGCTTACTGTTATTCATCACATATTAAGGCTGTCTGCCTAGTTTGGTCTTAGGAGGACAGGAAACACAAACTCAGGACCATAGAAACAAGTTCTGTTTCCAGAGCAAAGCAACACGTGTCTGTTGTCTCTCAAAAACTGCTTCCAAATAATTAAGTTAGAGAACAACAATAATAGCTATTATAATCATACGTAGCTCATAAAATGGCTGCTTCCTTCCAGCAGCTGCCCAAACAGCATCATGGGAATTGTTTGGAAAAAGCATCCCCTGGCTCATGTCCCTGGCAGAATTGGCAGTACCCTCACCACTCAAGAGATTGTCTCTTAAAATGCTGGTCCAAACTTTAGTGCACCCGTGGAGGAGAAAACGCGCCGACTAAGACATTGAAGAGATGGTTCTGCTGGTGGCAGTTGCAGAAGTGATGCTGGTCCTCGGTTTGGCTGTGGAATCAGACTCTCTCTGCTCACCCACTACCTTTTATAAAAACTGCTGGATCCGACGCTTCCCAGGTCTTCTGATTGACCTGCGGGAATCGCAGAAGAGGGGAGCCCAGGTGCTGAAGATTTATGCAGAAGTCTCACCCCAACAGTGCAGCAGAACCTGCTGCCTTCTGAGGAATGGTGAGTGTTTATTATCAAGATTGTGGCATATATTAAAATTTGCATCATGATGTATAAGGAAAAACATTTTGGGTAATTTGTTTATAAACATTCCTTTATTTGAAGAAGAAATAATGCAAAAAACTGAGATATATGTATTTTTGAGGCAGGAAAGCAGAGGCACATTGTAATTGTTTCCTCCATCTTCAGTCCTATAGAAAAGATCTTGATAATCTGAATTTTTTCTAGAAGACCACACTAGAAATACATGAAAATCTTAGGGCCGCTTTCAAATTCTAGATCTCTGTTACAAAGCTTGTGGGCAATGCTAACATTAAAACAATAACTCTTCACCATCTACTCCTGCAGAGGAAAATCAGTGACACTGATTCCAACAGGACTTCTTCATGCAGTAAGATACTACACTAAGACATGGTGAAGGGGAAAGGGGAGGGAACACACAATTTAGCCTTCTCTGAGATACAAGAATATTTATTTTCTTGGAGAGAGCAATCTTTTGTTCTGTGTTTCTGGTGCAACTCAGGTATAATGTTAATATGAGCAATAAAAAGAAAATAGTAATCAATAACAGCAGTTATTCAGCTGGCAACCCTGTTCCCCTAGTCTTATACACTCAGACTCAGAATAAAAATAAGAAAATGTAATTGCCTGTCTTAAGCCCCAGACTACACTTTCTCTGTATCACACTGCATTGGTGCACTAAAGGAGTGTATTTTAGGAGTATATGTGAAGTGTGTGTCTGTAGTGCCTAAATCTGACTGCAAAACTCACAAGACTTGAAAGGTTTTTGGATATGGAGAATGAAAGTGAGCTACCAGTTACTAAAACCAGTCAATATACGTTTTGATTAAATTTTGAATTATAAGCAATAATATGACCTTGACAACCTGACACTGAGATAACTAATGTAACTGCCAGCAGCGTTTCTGGAAGGAGTCAACTTCTGTGTTAAATATTGCGAGGAAAGAACAAGTATCTATTATTTCAGCAATGTTCTTCCTGTCTGGGCAACAAACTTTTTCTCATAAACATGGGACTGGATATCTTACAGGCAGAAGTAATGGTAACTTGGAATCTTATTTTTATAATGTTACATAGTCAAGCACAATTTTATTACAATCTTAACTAAAATACAGAGACATTAGATGGCATTTCAAAGATAACACTTTAAATTAGCATGTGGTTTCCTTATAATCCCAGAGAGACAGGCGTAGTCACTACTACAAATGCTATTGCCAGTAAATGTCCTAATTAAGATTTCAAGAAATGCTGATAAGGAGTTTGCTAAGAGAATTTTCTTTGATAGATTCTCAGTAATAGCACAGTTACTGAAAGCTAGTCTTACAAAATAATAAAACCAACAAAACAACAAATTTTGAAATAATTTAAAAATAAGAAATAAAATATCTTATAGCATGCTTCTAAAGTATTCTTCCTGACCAAAGAACTATCCTTCCTTACAAAAAAAATAGGTTAGTGACATTTTTCTTACCTGATTTTATGCAATAAAATCCATCACAGAGCCTAAAGAGAATATATCCACAGAAGCCAAGTTCTTCAGATGAGATTTTTTTCCTACTATTTAATGATATTTTCATAAAGTTTGCAAAGTAATAATTAAAATGAAAAACATTTATAATTATGTTTGTCTAAAAAAAAAATGTTTCTGATGACAACAGAATTTTGCACAAAGTTGTAAGACTGGAAAGGTTTCAAGATTTCACTCCTCTCTTCAAACAAATACACATATTTTCAGGTGTTCTCTATATTCTTAAATAAGACAGTCTCTATGTCAGAAACCCACATAGTATTCATGCATCACACTGAAAAACAAACATAAAATATATTATTAGCACAAAACATCCATTCTTTGACAAAATTCAGAAGAACATTGGATACCTGAGTCTGAAGGCGAGGGTACATACTGCTACATGTAAGGCAAGTGAAGAACAGTTTTCTTTTGGAAGAAAAATAACTAATGTGAACAAATATACGAAAATGGTGATTTTTTTTCAAACAATTACTTCAATAATACCACACTGATAGTGTTCGCGGTGTTTAAGTATCCTTGAACAAATGATATCACAGAAAAGCAAGTACTACACAGGTATTTCACAGAAATATTTGAAGGGCTTTGTCTTTTAAACTGTTAACTTGTGCTAAAAATGAAGCAAAATGTTTACTGATGCCTAGAAATATTTCTGTATTCAGAATTATTTCCTTAAAAATACTCACTGGATTTTAAATTCCTTTATCTGTAGAAGCAAAATTTTTTTAAATATTACCTGTAGAAATGCCTGTAATCCTCATGAAATATATCAAAATAGTTATGTACTGGCTGAATATGCTTCTCTAACACCACAAAATGTTTCTAATCTTTTAAAGAAAAATGCAAACCAATTGGTATATAATAAAGCCAGAGTTTTCTATAATCCCTGTAAGATTATCATTCTGTCTTCTGCAAGTTATGTTCTCCTATTGTTTTGATAATCATAACCTTCTTTGTACCAGTCTTACTTCCATAAATATCTACTCTAAGCTCAGGTTCCTAGGACATCGAACTGGAAACTGATGAAGCCTAACTAGAGGTAGATATAGGGCATGGAAATTGTATCAGTGAAAGAAAATTGCTGGTTATCATATTTGATCTAGCTTTGATGACAAATCATATCTTTACCTTGCTATCATTAGTTTGGGATCCCAGTTTTACTTGTAAATATCACTGTTTTCCTTTCAGCTAGGCAGACAACCTTGATCTTTATATGTAAGTAGGTAAAAAAACCAAGACAATATAAATTACGTAACAGCACTTCTGACATGATTTCTTTCTTCTGTAGAGCTGCTGAATTTGTATTGTTCAGACAGGCAGAGTGCATTTTCATTGCAAATTTTTATTTTATTAATCGTATACAATTTTTTTTAGAAGAATGCTTCTCTTTTAGGGCAGATAAGGTCATTATGATGGAAAAAAAAATCAAGGTGTGTGTTTACTGTGTTAAATCTATGATGCAGAATTGAGGCTACTAGATGAAAAAATACAAATAATACAGAAAAGATAGTAAGCACAGATTTAGTGTATTTTCTTCCTTTTCTCATTTGCAGCTAGGTTGGGGATCTTATTTTTGTTTTAGTTGCACATAAAATGGAAAGAGTTGCATGACTTTTTCTGTTGTTCATTGCAGAAGTATTACAAATTATTTTCAGTACTTACAAATGTAAGAAAAATATTTGGAATAAATATCTAAGTCGATAGAGCACATTTATAAAGCTAGGTAGTTTCCTAAAAATTTGTGTAAAATAAAGCTTTTTCATAAGGGTGTTACACAAATATACTGTAACTACAATGTTTTTCCAATATTAAAAAAAAAAAAAATCACAGAATTATTTTAGAATTGTTTGCCTGAAGCAACACTTCAACCCTATTAATTCACATGTTCTAGACAGTTACATTATCAAATACAGATCTTGTCCTAAAAGCACATTTCATACACAAATTGTTCAATTTAGAATCAGGAGGTATGTTACAATTTGAAGTGCAAAGCTTGAGTATCAGAATCAGGATCAGAAAAGCTTTCCTTAGCTGTTTTAATAATTTACAGTATTTTCTGCTATTGAATGTGTCCACTGCCCTGCCAATACTTGTTTTAATTGCAGGTAGCCATTCAGGTTATTAATTCAGGTATTGAGGTTACATTCAAGGCAGGTAAAATAATATAAATAAACCCCCCAAAACTTCATACAACTGAAACAAAACATTAATCCTGCTCCAAGCAAACTGATATAAAATAAAATTAACTTTTTACTTGATATTATGACATCCTGTGAGACTCTGAAAGAAGAATCTTTCCTGCTTTTTATCTAGTGTGACTCTAACCGTAAGTATTTTAGCATACATTTTCAGTCTATATCTTAAACCACTAGGATTTGGGCATCTATATATATTTTTGAAAATTTGGTATCAGTGACAAGTTGTTCAGTCATTTTTTTCATTATTACTTTTGCCCTGATCTCCAATGTGGGAACATAGAACAGAACCTCCAAACATAAATAAAGAATTGTCTAAACTACTCTATTCACAGAAATACAATAGCCAAAAGGCAAACAAGGAAAACGATTGGGAACTGGCAGCTGGGCAGGATGTCACTTACTTATTGTAGTTCAGGATGTTTTTAATAGGTGGAATGAATGGCTGTAGTCCAGTTTTAGGTAGACAGGTATGTTACACAACAGCAAACACCTCAAAGTTTTCTCCCTTGATAACCTTACTTTTAGAAATGGTCCACTCACTGCAACTGTGACGTGAAGGGAGGCAGCTGGTAAGAGGACTACAAGCTAAAGCATATGATTTTATTTTATCAGAGGCACATTTAGAATTCAGATAGCTATTCTACTCCTTCTTAAAATAAGAATATAGTTATAAGCAGGTCAACCTTATTGACTAGGTGCTTAATTAGTTTGCACGATAATGAGAGAAACACAGATTTAAAGTACTATGGAGCTGCCCAGTATTAATCATCTTCTGATGTTAAATAATGTAATAACAGGCAAAATGCAATGTTTATTATGCTGATAAGCTCAACTTTATTCTTTTTGCATTATAGTTTCCTGCAATCTAGCAGTGTTCTACCATGTAGCTATTCATGAGAATATGAACTGCCTGCACATGTCTTGCCCAGCGTTGGAAAGTTGCATACTAAAGGCTAGAATCAATGCCATTTTGTACAACATCACAACAGGTAACTAAGCATTTCATTTATAAAGGCTAAAACATAGCAACTGTAAGAAATGTTAAAATTATACTAGGTCAGTTGCTGTGCTAAAAGATCTGAAGTAACATGCAATGCTAAAAAATCGTAAGACTTTTTCCTTTTTTATTAATGCACCCATTTCTAAGAATACTTCCCCCCTTTCTTCCATTCAGTATTTGAGAAAGAACCTTGAAGATACAACCTGCTTAAGATTCATGCTCTGAGTACTCAAAGAATACTATACCTGGGGGAAAATACCATACCAGGACTGAGAGACTGAGAGGCAAGGCTGCCTGCTGCTCTATGTCCCCAGATACAACCAGTAGCAAGGCTGAAAATGTATTCCTGTAGGCACACACACAAAAAAGCACATGTACATACCACGAGTGTACATTTAAACAGCCAGCCACACAGGTAACACACAAAAATACATAAAGCAGACACACAAACACAGGCAGCACCAAGAGCCTCATCCTGCTTTCACTGGCTGCACAGGATGGCGATCTGCTAGTGGAAATGTATGTATACAGATATGTACAACACAGATCCCCTCAGCAGCTGGGCTCATGCTCAGTCTGCCCAGCAGCTGCCCCTGGGCCCCCCCTCCTCAGTTGCTGGCACCTGGACATAGGAGCCCCTGAGGGCGCAGCCCCACTCCAGTTGCTGGTGCAGACTGTCACACACACACAGAGCTTTCTGGGACTCTCCTACACCCCAGTAGCCTAGATCCCTCACCTTTGGTTCCTTCCCTAAGCATCCCATAGTAAATCCTGTGCAATCCCAAAAGGCACTTCCCTTGCAGTTCATAAGGTGTCCCATGACCCTAGGCAGTGATGGTCCCAGTCCAGAAGGTCTAGTTGGGTATTATTTGGGCTCCCTGACCTGCCTTTGTCTCCATGTGGTCCTTTTGTAGGTGAGCACATAAACTAACATTGTTTATGATTTAATAGGGATTGATCCAGATCTTCTTATTTTTGAAAAACTGACAACCAAAGAGCCAAATACTCACTCCTCAATGAATAAGTATGAAAGGCAAAACAGCACAAAGGCCACCGAGTGGGAAAGATGCCAGCATCGTAATGCCACATCAAGTTCTCTTCTGCTCCAAGCTCCATCTTCTACCACTAGCCATGGCCTAACCACAAACACTTACACCTCCAGTACAAGCCTGACTGTCCAAAAAACTGAAGTTCCTACTTATTCCAGGGCAGGAATTTTTCCACCGGATGATCATTTTGCTAAGAGAACAAGCACAACTTCAGAAAGCACAAGGTCAATCACCAGCTCACTCAAGAAGACTGTACACTCGACTCTGCTTTCCAAGTCTGACGAGGTATTATCCCACGTGCCCACTCCTCCTCATCTAAACAGCAGTAAGCAGCACTTAAATGAAACCAAAGGCTACAGTGGCCGGAATTATACTTCAGATAATGAGACACCTGCTTGGGAAGCTGCAGCTTTGGGTATCTGGTTGATTCCTGTTATTCTTTGCTCCTCTCTCATCTTCCTTTGCTGTTGTACTGTTGCTTTCACAGCAGGTCGTTGCAAAAAGAGGAGAGGTCAGTATAGGCCCATAAGGAGAAGAACAACATCAAGACAGTTCATAAAATATACTACTGTCAAAGGTATTTTGTGAAATACTGTCATCACCCTTGTTTTGGAACAAATAGCTTTTTAAAAATGAATCAGATATACCAGCTTATTTCTTTTACAGAACCAGAGAGAATTTTTTCACTGATGGTTTCAGAATCTTTCATTTGTAATTTAATTCTCGACAGACGAAACACAATTTCCCTGTCTCTGGCTAAGTACACTCTCATAGCTCCCACTGCATGCTCAGTGGTGGTCGAGCATATTTTGATTCACAATCTGATCAAGATTAATGCCTTACAAGCAGTATACACTTTCCCTAACTTAAAGGGGACAGATTCAGCTGTATGTATCCTTTTCCCTGATTTTGAACTAACCTGAGAAAATTAAGTGCAATCAGTAAAACTGACTGAAGCTTCACAGTATAATAAAATCATTTAACTCTAATCATCCTATAATTGTCCCGGATATAGTTGTTTCTATAAAACCTGTCCATTTTTCTCCAAGTTCTGAACTGACCTTTTTCCCCCATTTAGCTCTAACATTGAGAGAAAACAATTTAGCCATCACCCTACTTCTTCAAATAAAAACACAAAAACAACCGAAAACCCCAAAACTACTGAATTCCACTAACTCATACCCAAACATTTGATCATTCAATCTTCATGCTTTACTTCCCCCCACTTCTCACTTCACTCTTCTAATAACAATCACTTAAAACGTTTTTCAAGCCCTCCGAGAAGCACCTTCAGACAACTGCTTTACTGCTTTTGGAAAGTTAAGTGCTCTGCAATGTATTGACAAATCCCTCCTGTTATTGGCTAAGGAAAAACACAAACACAGCTAAAATTTGTTTGTGCTTCACAATTAGCATTGATCTGTGTTGTCCACTTTCACTTGCTTTTTCTTCCCTACTCATATTTATCATTTACATAATTAGCCTTTTAAAAGAGGGACAGGCATTTAATGTCTGTTGCACAGAAATACACAAAATGTTTTGAGAGCTCTATAAGTTAGCTTTATAATAAAAACCCTTTTTTTTGTTTCCTTATCCTGTATACTCTATTCATAAAAGTGCTCTTCCTGAATATAAATCAAGCAACTAGATCAACAAGGTAGCAAGGTATTTCCTTGCCTTACCTTACTCAGGAAGTTTGCTTAGCAAAGCAAACATTTTCAACAGTAACCAGGATTGTTCTTCCTCTTCTAAACTTGTTGACATCTCAGTTTCTCACTTTCTTCACTTGCTGTAAGAATTTTCTATTTCCCAGACAAGTGTAAATGTTATAAAAGGAAAGAATAAAAAATAAAACTGATTGTCACATGTCTATATGGCAGAAAATTATTTTTAAACTGGTAAGATGCATGCAATGTTCAAAGACTGCAGTGATGTGATTGTAAGGCCATATGAATACCTAATTACAGTTGAGCAGGTTGGTTTCAGAGGAAAAGACCTACCTAAAATTATATTTTAGCCCACCCTGATCAGCACTGTAGCTTAGGAAATGGAAGTTTAAAAAAACAAAACAACACATACTTGTTTATAGTACTTGATTGACCTCGTATGCTAATTTTTATGTAATAGAAGACAGCCTGACACAGAACAAGAGGAACATTTTAAAGTAGTGGAGTTTTTTGAATCAGTTGAAATAGCACAAAAGCAATTCCTTCTACGTTAGCTAGAAAAGTTAGAATTAGGTACAATTTGTTCAGTAGGGCAGTTCTATGCTTATATATAAAGTGATACAAACTCTAGAGATGTACCCACTGAATGATGTACTTTAAATTTCAACAAGCAAACTTTTTATCAGCAAATTGCAGTCTTTTTATTTATCACATGGCTGAATCTAGCACATAGTTTAACAATCACTAAAAATTTCAACTAAGAATGATGAGACCCTTCTGAATTAGAGGAAGTTGACAGCTACTCTTTTCCAGATTTTTAACACCAAAAGGAAAGTAACCAGGAATGAGGAACCAAGATATTATATATTGTATCAAAGGATGAACATGGCGATAGTGTAAATAAAGAACGTATTTCTCATATGCTCATCATCTTAGGGTAACCTTCATGGATCTGACCCCAAAATGGGAAAGTTTCAGGTCTGACTCATTTCATTAGGAAAAAAGGCACATATATGTCAGAGGAGGAACTCAGTTTCTCAACCTGTAGATTACTGTGATGTGCTTTATACCCTTTTGCCACAACTTGCACTGGAAATGGTGATGTACACTGAGACCATCACTATGATCTTTTTCAGACCAGGAGCTGCAGACCAAGTGGTCCAGGATTCTCTTTGTACAGTGCTATACCAACTAAATTCTGAAGGAATTCTGTTAAAGACACAAGCAGGCATAACTGATTTCCATTACAAAGTCTTAATCAGAAAATATAAGTTTGCAAAGTTCATGTTTTGATGTCTATCACAGAAAACAGTCAGATGCTTCACACATGGTGACAACCTGATCAAATATATTAAATAAATAGATTACCCATATACTCCAAGTCCTGTTACTTTTCATCTCACTCAGTACAGACAAGAAGTCAGGAAGTACTTCTTCACTGAAAGGGTTCTCAGGCACTGGAATGGGCTGCCCAGGGAGGTGAATGAGTCACCATCCCTGGAGGTGTTTAAAAGATGGGATGCTCAGATATGGTTTAGTAGTAGACAGGTACAGTTGGACTTGATGATCTCAGAGGTCTTTTCCAACCAGGAGATTCTATGATTCTATGTTTGTCATAGGATTCTCCCACAAAAACACTTTAGCCAGTATTGTCACATCAATTTTCAATGAAAGGGCTTTTAAAATTATATTTTTCTCTGCATAATTTTAAAAACTATGTAATCAAGGAAAACATATTTTAAAACCAAATTACATCTAAAACGTAAAGATATCTCATAGCAGATATAAACACCAGCTAGTTACCTTCCTGCTTGTCTACTCACTACCACATGAATAAATAGTTGAAAAGCCCTTGATTTCTTATCAACAATTAAAAACACCAGTATATTATCAACATTCTTTTCATACCAGAACCCATGCTAAATCCAAACACAGTGCTATTCTGGCTAAGAAGAAAATTACTACTATAACTACTACTATTAGAATTTTTTTATTTTTTTTTAAAAAAAAAGGGAAATCAACAACTGAAGAAGTGAAAACTTGCTATTCTTACACCAGGGATGTTGTGTACCTACAAATGCAAAGCCTAGCAAAGAAATTCTTTCACTAGACAGGATATGCTCCAACATGCCAGAAACACAAATCTCTGCAAGAAGGCATTAGTTTTAACAGAAATAAGTTATAGGTAATTAACTTTGCTTTAAAACTGGTGGGGTTTTTACTTCCTTTTCCTCTCAGAAAAGTAACTTCTACCTGACTATTGATCCGTTGTGTGATCTGCAGCAACTCACAGCCATCCCTGGTATCCATGGTATCTCCATCTCCACATTAGTGACTGTATTAGTGCACTTAAAAGCACCTTAATGTTCCTTTGATACTTACCCTCAATATTATGTTCTGTAGAATCATGTACTGGAACTAGGACCTCAGTACTCACCAGAAAACCAAAATGAGACAGAAGTGGAAAATTTTTATCTATCCTATGCACAAACACTTCTGGGGCAGGATGGAATGAATAGAACATATAAGACCATATTCTTGAGAGTCTTCTTGTTTGTTGGTATACAGAGGAAAAAACAGGCAGGAAAAGGGTTACATAAAGCACAGTAGCAAGACTATTTTATTACAGACTAGGAGAGCCACAAGAAAATAAAAACATACTTTTTAAGAATGAGAGAAGACAAGAAACAGGTAGAAGGATGGTTTGTCCAGACAACACGTGCCTTTTTAGGCAATTGTCCCTTTATCTCTACTTGTGTTTGTAGCAATGCTACCCATGAAAACAGGACCAGAAGTGTCAGCTCCAGTCAGGAGTATAAATTAGTTCCCTGAAAACCATGAGATTATTTGTAGGGGTTTACCAACTCTTCACACACAGCCAATCACATTCAGGCCTTAGGGCTTGGTGAAGCGACAAGGAGTTGCAACATCTACTCTCCTTGCCGAAGACTGAATTATGTCTCTGCACAGCAGGCCTTCTTGTCTAATCTGAGAAAGAGATTATGTTTAGTGTCCAGCAGCCCTTCTTTAAATGGCAAAAGTGTGACAGAACATAGAGAAACTATTCAGTGACAATCTGAATGTTTCACTTCACAACTCTTAGCACGCTGTTTACTAGACATCTTATGCCAGTGATTACAGTAGTTTCTAGATGCAAAAATTTATCCAGAATACAGACAAAACAAAACAAGTTCTTTCCCAGTTTGACAACTATATCTCAACTTTTCTTTGAAATGTTTATAAGGGAGATAGAAGAAATATTAGTCTACTCAACAGCACCAGCAAAACTATGCATCACGACTATTCTGGATGGCTAAGAACTGAATTCATGAGAGGCTTTTTTTCTACTGGAGACAGCTTATTTTTCCTTGCTGTAAGGAACTTACTTTTCCAGTTTGTGGGGGCAAGCGTTTGGATTTGAAAGGAGACATCTGCTACTCAGAGTAGAACAGTGACCACAAAGAAGCACCTATAGTAGCCTTCCTGCTCAAGTTTCAATTTGTGATGGAGAGGGTTGCCTGAGGTCAGGGCTGTCATGAACTAGCTCCATGTTCTTCTAGGCCAGTAAATACCAACAGAAGAATTACCTATGAAGACAGCCAGTGCCTCTAGATATTATGTATTGGTTTTTTGCTTCTCTTTCCTTTTGAATTTATGCAGCAGGGGGCCTAGTCTGCTTCTTGATTAAAGTGTTACCTATCTATGTTTTGATTTAAAAGTAACATGAGCACTTCCACATAACAAAAATGTACATACATACAGGTATGTATAGATGCATACACACCTTAGGGTACATTACAATGTACATGATACATTAAAAAGTGACCACTGCTACAGATGTACTTACTACTGTGCTGTAGAGTTGCTTAATCTGTAAGTCTATTGCTCTTTAACTCTTCACAGTTTTTAAACTTCAGTGCA